CGACGACTAGAACCAAGTTACCAACCATTCCCAGAATCCGAGGGTCTGCCAACTTGGCAAAGTGCCTAGAGCACCCCGGTTCCTAAGGTCTTAAGACTTATTAAGTTTCATTAAAAAGAAACTTCTGAGAGGAGTGCGGCAGCTTGCTCTGTTCCGCAGGCAGGCGATGGAGCATGTTGTTCTCCCAACCTTAACGACATTGGTGGACATGCCGACTTCAACATTCTCATGGCATTGGCTCTGACAGAGGTTCGACTGTAGCCTGAAGGCAGGTCTTCCCCCAGACCTTTGCAGTGGATACATCAACGCTGCTAGACATCGAGATGCAATCGCTTCTGTACAGGTGCGAAATGAGCCGAAAATGCCATTCGAACCCAAACGAATCCCTGCACGATCCGTCCCGAACAGTCACACCTTATATACCGCCCAGCACGAGAAGACACCAAGAACCCAAGGCCAGCAACTTTCAGAACACCAGCAGTGGGGGCCCGACGCTGGAGGAAGCGAATGCCCGTGCCTAAACTGCCGGCTGCACTGGACAAGCCGTGTTGGACATGGATCGTCTGATTTCGGCATAGTCCGAGGCTTCGGTGTGTCTTCCCATCCCCGGAACTCCCCCTCCCAGCCTTCTGGTGGTGGTGGCGATGAACATTTAAGTCTTTTTAGTCCTGCCCCCCATCCTCCCCCCACTTCCGAGCCTTTTGTGGTTGCCTTCCCCAAACCACCTCCCCACCTCTGCCTCCATCCCCCCTATCTCGGCTGGAGATGGGGGGGTTGGCTGGCCTATTTGCTTCCTCAATCCGCTGTTGTCGAAGAGGCAGACAAAGACAGCAACCCGTAATTCATGTTGATAGCAAGCAAACGCGAATGCTTCCAGCGACCCTTATAAGGTGCCTGTCGCGCACGAAGGTTTGCACAGCAGCTGCCCTAATATCGAAATGGGTTTCAACGAGGGTGGCTGTATTCCAAAAAATCGAAACAACAAATGGGCTCCAGTTGTCGCCTCTAGCAGCAGGCCAAGGCAAAGTCCACGTTTTTCCAAGAACTGGTCAAGCCAACGCACGGCTCTCCAGGTTTTGTCTGTCAGGCTCCCACGGCAAGTGGTTGTTGCTGCACAGAGGGCGCCAAACAACAGACGGGGCTCCGGTTTTGATTCTAGCAGCAGGTTGGAACAAAGTCCTGATTTACGAGGGGGAAGCAGAACATGGCTCCAGATTTTGTTTCTACGGTTGGGCCTTCCCCAGCCCCAAAACCCAATAAAACCTTCTGGAACCAGCGCTGAACCAAAAAACTTTGTAGAACAAACTGAAAACTCATTGGACTACCACAACCACCACCAGTACATGCTGCCATCATGACCACCACCCCCCACCCCGACCCAGAGGGGTTAGGGTTGTAAGTCTAGCCGAGGCGGGTACGCACAGCGGTTAAATTAGACTCGAGTGCTGCAAGAGTCGGTGTTGCACGCTGAACCTCCAGACTCAGTTCCTAAAGCTGTCCCGTCGCATGGGGACCAGTCTGAAGTGTAGTAAGCACGAAACTCACAAGCCCTACCCTAGCAGGGTTTAGAGTTTAGTTCTGAACCCGCCTGGCCTGGATCGTCGACTTGGACCTGCCGCGCGATGGAATGGCAAAAATTGGGGCATAAACCTGGGCGGGCACCTCCCGAAGGGGCTTTGCATATGGCTTTATGGGGTTTTGTAGGGGTATGATAGCGTTCTATACGGAGTAGGCTGTTGCGAGTTTGGGCATACCTACTTCTGATCAAAGTCTCCTAGTACTGGAGCTCGAGGTGCTGCTGCGAGCCTGAAAAAACAAGCCACCCATGCGCCTGTTTGACTCCTTTGAATACCAGAGCTTTGCATCATGCAGTAGTCACTCTGGCTGGGAAACAAGCAGTAACATGGCCTTTGCTCTGAGTCGTAGCTACGACCTAGACTTAGACACTATGAGAGCAGCTGCGAATGAACCGCGTGTGGCAAATGCCTCGGACCAAGAGCGAGGAGCGCATACCGACAGCCAGCAGTGTCCGGCGAATAAGGCGATGATAAGACAGTGCTGTCAGCATCGTCAAGAAAACTCATACAACCTAAACCCTGCAAAGCGACACAGCCCCAAAACTCGTGGAAATGAACAATAAACCCGAGCCTGCCTCGAAGCTGCGACTGAAGGCGTTGGTCGCCTTGGCACCCACTCCGTTGCGGCCTCCTGTGAATCGAACCTGGCAGGCAAGTCTCTTGGGTGTCTGGCTTAGGGATGTTTAAGGTTCTGTGAAGCCCAAACCTGCCCAAACCCCCCAAATGATTTTAAAAACTGCCCCTTTGCGCCCCCTGGGGCCGCTGTTGAGCATGGCACCATGCAAACTTACATACATACTATCTGCATACATACTGTCTTGCTATGTCTTACTTATGTTAGGCTAGATCGAACCGCACCAATATGACTCTTCATTCGCAAAGCCGAAACAGCTGTCTAGGAACAATGTTTGCGTTTACATGTCTCGGCGAGTACTGCTCATAAGGATACACTTTCGAAAATGATGGCTTGGACTTGGTCTCCAATTATAACCACGGCTGCAGGAAGGCTGTGAATACATCCAATGCGAATGCAATCGCCGTGTCCAGTCACTCACTGCTTCGAGCAAATGCTGGTGTGAGTCCGGTGTTACGAACATTCCGAAGGCGATGCCGGAAGACTTCGGTGGTTGCCGCATTGCTGCATCTCAGGCCCCATATGACCTTAACGCGTCAGTAGATGGCTCGCAACTGCGACTTAAAGCTTAGAGAGGCTCCTGCGTATCGTTGAAGTTGTCCCCGCTGAGGAACTCGCCGAAGACAAGAGTTGGGACCTAGAAAGCACGTCTGTTTCAGGGCTGAGATGTCGCGGGGAGAACCTTCTGGAGGCTTCTTCCGGGCATGGCAGACAACGGGCAGCACGTGAGGCTGAAGCTGTTCATGCCGCAAAAGGGGCTCTCCCGAAGCCTTGAGTCAGAGAGGAGCCTCGCGAGAGTGGGGCTGGGGATGATCGCCATGGTGATGATCATGCCGAAAGGTGATGATGATTGCTAGTCAGACCCTCGCCCTCCGAGGCTGCTGCATAATGCCCCGACCTGAGGCAGAAAGCAGCGTAGCTTCAAGGCGAGCGTTTGCTTGTTCAATGCTGCAACGTCATTGCAGCGAGGGCAACTGTTCTTGGTTGTCATTGTCGTTGATGGTGGTAGGCAGCAGCAGCAGCAAAAAGCAGTAGCAGTAGCCGATGGTGGTGGTGCTGGTGCTGGTGGGGCGGGAGTGGTGGCGTCGGTGAGGAATCTCTGCTCCTCCTATGCAAGACTCTGCACCCGACAACGATTTAGAGGCTTCCCTTCCGGGCATCGATACTCAGCACTCAGTCCTTGCAAAATCTTCCCGTTCTGCAAGGATGGCATCCAGAGAAATTGCTTCGTCTGCAAACTTGGTCGGTCTATGGTTAATTGGCGAAGGATGGCCTTGGTTCTAGCGTCCCGAAGCTGAGTAACGTATCAAAGGTTGTGTTTTCTGGTATCCTCCATAGCACAGCCAGCGGCTCATGCTTCTCGATGGGGATGGGCCCGCCATCGTTAGAGATGCTGATGCGGCCGGCCTTGCGAGATGGATGCATTTGGCTTCGTCTTAGTATAGGCGATTTTGCAGAGCTTGGGATGGATTGGTTGGGACACTGCTTGAAGGTCTGCTTCGAAGGCGCGAGCACAAAGCTAAAGCTGACTCAGACCTAACATTGGCACACACACTCTGGTACCCAAACTAAACTGCTGGCACAAGCGAGGCAAAAGCCTGCCCAAAAAAGATTAGAAGTAGAAAACCATCCTGCCAGCTGCCTGCCTGCATGCTAGCTGGGTCCGGGAGAGCCGAAGAACAATGCTCGAGTGCACCATTGAACTACACTTTCTCGGAGGATCTGAACTCAACAAGAAGAGCCGCCTTTCATGTCTGCAGAACCCAAGGTCCCAAGACTGTCTCTCGGAGGGTGCGACGCAGCTCTGCCTTCGCGTCCACGTCTACTCGGATCTCTGACATGCCACCTGACCAGCAAGATCCGGATCGAGACTGCAAACCGGAAAGGAAAAATCGTCCACAAGGAGTGCATTGGCATAGGGGTGCACCGTCGAGTCAAGGTAGTGGACCATGCCTAGACAACTCAGTCTTGTGCGAGGTTTGGATCCTCGCGCGGCGGGCAGCCGCTGGATGTTGCGAAGCAGTATTTTGGCAAGCAAGGGCTGGAAGCCAGACCTTTCACCTTCGCGACCTTGCAGTCTGCCGACCAGAGGTCTGGACACATCAACGCATCTGCGAAGGTCGGCACCAGACATGATGGAGTTCCGAGGAACAGGGTTGCACTGGTAGAGCTGCTGGCAAGAATGGGCAGTCTTCGTGGTGGCCGCGGCGCGGTGGGAGTAGGATGTGAAACGAAGGAAGCCTGTCCACAAAGCAAAGTACTGACTCCTCAACCCCTGGAGCCCCTCACTGAGGCAAGAGACTTTGGAACTGTCGATCAATCGCGTTCACAAGGATCTCATTGAAGATCTGCACCTTGACATGGCCGTCGCGCCGCTGAAACTGAATGCTTCGATGCCCCAAGATGATGTAATCGACAAGACGGAGATACAGTAAAACCGTGGCACGAAGAATCTCGCAACCCGAACCCCGTCACGTCTGCACTCACCTTTTTCTGCATTCTGCAGAACACCAATCGATCGCACCTCTGGCGGTATACGGCTTCTAGGACTGCTCCAGTTTCGGCCTGTGCCCTTAGGACTCAAGGACATGCTCTTCCCTAGCAAGAGGAGGACTGACTGGACTTCGTGGGAAAGATAAACATCAAAACCAGATTGAGCACTACTTGGTAAGTGAAGCCGACGCATTCCCTCCTCAACAAAGGTGATCTGAAGCAGAGACTCAACAAGACGAGAGCTACAGCTACTGCCGAAGTGAACGGGCTCGGGCACGAAACCAGGGAGATCGGCTCTAGGCTTTCAGGGCGTGATCCAAATCTTCGATCAGGTCGTCGCAGTCCTTCCGTGGGCTTGACACTTCCACAGCTCCGAAACGCGGAGCCAGGATGCTCGTCCATGGTCGGATTGAGTTTTGCGTCTCTTGACAGTGGCCAGCAATCCTAGCCCCGCTCTGTTCCCATGAAATAGAAGATCTCCAAAGCTGCAAGCATCTGGCCCGTGCGCAGGGCCCAGCTCGAAACCACCACCCGCCTACACTCCTACTCCCCGGCCAATTGGCCAACTGCATTGTGCGCTGGTTGCTTGCACCTTCGATTAGTCTGCTGGTGCAGATCTTGCGGCTTATGACTGATGCAGGCGTCTCACGAACCGTTTTTGGACCTACGGTAGAACAGGCAATTAGTCCAGCAGCAGTTCAATTGTTCATGCAAGCTTAATCGAATATGGCCTTGATCTACTGTACACACGTGTCCCCAAATACGGCCGCTTTCCATCTCTCAGCACCAGCATCATCACCAACCCCGACAGCAGCCTTGCATCATAACCACACAATCATCATCCCTATGCTCGATCATCTCCGCAACATCAGCAGGAACATGCCTGAAACCCAGCATGGCGCTTCCATCTGTTTCATGCTCGTCGTCACCGTCGCTTCGTTACTACCACGATCCTCAACTACACACTTCAAAGACACGACTCTACAACTGTGACCTCCACGCCGACGCTCAGGCGTAGCGTCGTGTCGTAGATGCCGACGGAAGCTCGCTGCTCCTGCGGTATGCTTTTGCTGTCTGAAAGCTCTGTGAGCAACTCCAGACCTTGGATGCATCCACAGCCGGACGGTCAGGCTACAAACTGGTTGAAGACCCTCCCTGTGAAGCCCCACCCGAACACCAAACCTTGGTCATGGAGCCATGCGACATGGTCGCGCTGTGATTGATCATGCCTCAGGGCACAAAGAAGCGGTAGCAGCAGTAGCAGTGGGGAGCAGCAGCAAAGGGTAGTGGGTCAAGGATAACATGGCGTCAGGAGAACAGGATGTTTGAGTGCTTGTGGTAGATTGGAGGAGGAAGCGCCCTTACTTGTGATGGCAGAGGCAAGATATCAAGAAGAGAAGTGCAAGCACGAAGGAGCAGTAGAGGTAGCAACGACCATCAAGCATGGTGGCCCCAAGGTCTGGCAGTGAGGGAAGCAGCTCGCTTCGAACCGTTGAAGCATTGGCTCCTTGTAGCGGTCCCAGCCAGCCACACAATCGAGTTCGACCAAGGGGCTCTCTACCCCTCCAAGGGACTCGGCCAGAATCCAGAACTTGATCTTGCTGAAGAACCTCCAGACTCCAGCCAGTTGAAAACTACACCGTTGAAGTGAAGCTGGGCTCAAGGAACGGTCACCCAAGAGGTTGCCTGAACTAACACCAGACGTCAGCAGACGTCAGCATCCTGGCTAGATCTTCGGACCCGGGAGAGACTTCTTCGAGACACTCCTCCCCTCCGAAAAGCCCTTAAAATAAAAAGCCCTGAAACCCTCGAAAAGACCCGAAAACCAGGACAGAAAGTCTAAACCCGAGGCCTTCGCATCATGTCCAGATCCTCTTCTCCTGGCCGACCTCCCATGGGCTGCTAAAGTAGGGGATTTGGGGTATATTGTATATACTATAATAAATATGATAAGGAACCCCCAAACTAGTATAATTATAAGAAGGAGCCCCCAAGATAGCATAGGTAATTCTTAAGGCCCCTGTATGAGGTTGTAATGTTTGCTGCATTACTCTTGGTTCTCACAGTCTTGTAATTCGCACTATTCTGGCTGTGATCTGTTGATCTAGTTGCCGTTGCTATCATGAGTCGTATCAGTAATAACCAGTAATACACAGACTCCGGAGCTGAAAAAGTACACAGCACGAAACTCCTCAGAACACTAGCGTATTGATAGGCATGAAACCAGCAGGCGAAAGTAGCTTGACAGCTTGACAAGAGCTCTAAAACCCCAAAGCCCTAAACCAAGCAAACATGAACCCTTGAACTCGCCACGCCACGGCCTTTGAAGCGGACAGTAACAACCGCGCCCCCGGAGCGCATCTGCCTGCTGAAACAAGACTGACTTCATGGAGCCTTCTTTTGGAGTCAACCGAGGGTCTTGGACCGCGCTGTCTCGGTCATCGTGTGCCAAGCATCGCCAGGGTGACATACTAAGCGTTCGCACCTAGTGACTGGAAGTGAACAGAAGACAAGGCATTAAGCTTTCCAAGAGATAGCCGAGCGCAAATCCTGATTCACCACCATCTCTGGCATGTCTGCGGATCAGCGCGCAGACAAAATTGATTGGTAATCTACAGAATGGAAGCCTGAAGTACAGCTTCAGCTCATCGGCTTGCCCAGTGCTAGACTGATAGACCATGACAGACCGGTGAGAGCGCATGTCTTTCGCTTCTGGTAGCCATTGCTCAGCATGCCCTCGCCCACAAGGCCTCTTGCAAAGCTCGTGCTGTGGGTGCCGCGGAAGGCCAGGATAATGCACCTTCCCCAGGCGTTTTGCCCACGGCAAATTTGCATGCTCTGCTGGGGTTTATGCCTCTGCTACGCTGGGCGGAAGGAACCAAGTCAAGCTCTAGACTTGGAGTTATGCAGCAAAAGAACGGACCACGGCTTTGCCGTAATGACTTAATACCCTCCACCCTTTTGGACACGAAATGTGTGCGACCTCGGCAACGCAGGGATGGCCGTCGAGAAACTCCGCTACGCGCTGGGCATTGCGGCATTGCCTTTCCCAGGAGATGGGCGTCATACCTACTACTGCCACCACCGCCATCGCCGCCACCACCACCACCACCACCGCCACCCAGGTGCCCACGACGAAAACAAGCAAGAAAAGACCTTCGCAACAAGTCTCCTATCTTCAACGAGACTCGAAACGCTCACCCAAATCCCAATTCCTTCTGATCGACCTCTCCATCCTCACTGCGAGGGTCTTCATCCCGCGCAGAGCCAGGTAGGCCTTCCAAGTTAGTCTGCTGGAACTACGAGTGTCACCGATGCAACAATACATCCAGTGTGCACCGGCATACTAGCGTTTTCATGTGTCCAACGTTGCAACACGTTTGCTGAAAAATAAAGATATGAAGCAGCACAAACCCCTCCTAAGGGTTGACTTCGGTCCCTGCTTGGGTTCCTAGAGGGGGTCATGGCACATGGAAGGAAATGGATCGTCGTCCTAAGGACCCAGCCCCTCCTTTAAGGAAACCGCCCCCAAAAAAGTGAGGACAGCCCCGGACCGAGCAGCTCCAGCCTCGAAGGGGCTGGCTATGCCGCCGACGGCTTTGGCCAACGAAGCGAGCCTTTTCGGGCGAACTCCATACTGTAGTGTCCGTTCCGAACACGGGCTTTCGGGGCCTTTGTGACCCAAATAACGGTTTCTTGCTCTCATGACACGGGCAAGCCTGCTGTCGTGACCAGCAACAAGCAGTGGCACCCTGCCGCACCGGACCCAAAAAGGAACCCTGAAGCCCAAAGCCTGAAACTCTCGGGAAGACATCACCTCCCAGCGCCTCTGAGCGAGGCCTGGGTCTTTGGTGACCAGCGCACCGCCGGTCATGTCGGAATGGCCGCCGATGTACTTGCTGGCCGAGAGCATCACCTTTAACTTGCTCTCCATGCATGGGCAGGTGCGGAATGTCTCATCGTCATCATCATCATCATCATCACCATCATCATCATCACCACCATCATCATCATCGTCATCATCATCATCATCATCATCATCGCCATCCTCAACCTCAACCTCCTCCTCATCATCATCCTCATCTTCTTCTCCATCTTCATCTTCATCGTCATCTTCTTCTTCACCATCTATCATCATCAGCAGCATCATGGTCATGATCATGATCACCAATCACCCCAGCGATTCTGCATGAACATCGCTTCTCCTTCGGGCCATCTTTCGACTTGGCTTCCTCGTTCCATGTGGAACACAATCACAGAGTGAACTCTGCAGCTTCTGCAGTCATTGTAGATTGTGTCGGGCTTTCAGCTTCGTGATCTATGGACTCCAGTAAAACGAACAGCTTGGTCCGGGCCCCTCTAGCTGTTTCAAGGTCAACTCATGTTGATCGAGGGCAAGGGCAACGAGCTATCCCGGGTTTAGCGAGAGCCCGAGCTCTGCAATCAGCCGATTCTCTCATCACCGGCCTTGGAATGAATGGGAGTCCTCTGGAAACAAGGGCCAATGCCACCGGGCTGAAGGAGCTAAGGAGGTCGGACATAGAACCTCGGGGCTCAGTTCCTTTTCGACAATCCCAGCGTCCAAGTCCACGCCCAGCTCCAGCGGCTGCTGATTCCAGGCCGTGGCAAAAGTGTTGTCCTAGGCAGATCTGGCGATGAGCTACGCGTCCGACCCTGCAGCGTTTGCTAATGTTTACATTTCTGCTTCTGCCGCTGCCACCACGGTTGCTGCTCCTTCCGGCTGCTATACTCCAGGAGAAAAACACAAGAAGACATGAATCATGTCAGCAAGATGTAACAAGGCTGTAACAAACATAACTCGGAGGTAAGCCGACATTGCGAGTGCTACCCGAGGGTGCCGTGTGGTGAGCTTCTTCCCGAAGCATGTTTGAAAGACGGATGACCCCATGTACTGTTCCGAAACACGGATGGTTTGAGAATGTGGACACAGGTTGTACTCTCCTCAATCTCATGACCCCAAGCAGGACTCTTGAAACAGTCCCAGGCACTGCGCAAATCAGAGGAGCTGGGGCGCCGTCCTCGGCAGCGGGTGAGCTGGCAAACTGCAAAGATACTTCAACACGAACCACTAGCGTTCATGATACTTACATTGGCCATTACTTCTTAAATTTCCGCAACCCAAAACATGATCGCAATTGCAAACTTCACGAAACAACTAGATCTCAGGGTTAAAGCTGCAGTGAACCAGCTGCAATTGCAACATTTCCTGACCCCCCGAATCTCCCCAGAACCTGACCTTCTATCAGTCTATCATATTAGTGTTTACTGCGTTTCAAAACATATGTTATACTAGATTTCTTATACTCTGCTATATCTATATTTCTTGTGTTAGATAGATTTTACTATATTTTCGCTATACTAGGTTCATTCTGCTATGCTAACTTTTTCCTATGCTATGTTGCCACAAGGAAAGACTCTCCGACCAAGTGTCTCTGGCGGCCTTGGCCTCGGCCATCACGCATGGAAATGGTATTCACTGACTCACTTTGGAAGATCAATAACTCGATGTTTTGGGCCGCGGTGGGCTTTTTGTGGAAGGCCCTTGTCCTCTTGGCTTAGTCGGAAGAACTCTGTGTTCTGGGGTTCAGGGTTTAGGAGAAGACATCACTTGTTGTGAGATGGCATTGTAGCAGGTCCTGGCGCTCGAAACGGAAGGCTCTTGAAAACCGAACATGCCGGCCAACTTGCTGGCCAAACGGAGCTTGTCAACATGTGCCCACCATGCAAAGTACTGAGGAATCTTCTGGAGACTGCCATGTTTTATGTGACCTGAACTGCACCGATCTAGAATAGGAGGGTAAGTTTGTGGGGATAAAAGTATGACATGGGTGGTTGTCAAAATTAGGGTCCCTTTTTGGGTCCTTATCATATTTAGGGTACCCCAAAAGGGACCATAATTTTGACAACTACCCACATACCTTTGCTGAGAATTTTACCGAGCTCGAAGCTCGGTTCTCTGAACCCACGGCCCCACAGCTGTGACCAAGAAACCGTATGGTTTTGCTGGAAACAGAAACAACACCTGGGGGAACGGAAGGTACTACTTAAATAGGGGCTTGGGGTACATTATACTATAACTACTCTAACGAAGAACCCCCAAAATAGTAATAGGTAGCTATTTAGGCCCCCTATGCTATACTGAGGCTTCTAGATTCGCATGGCGTGCGGGGATGAGGCCGCGGGGCCTTCACGGCTTCGACCAGCTTCGGGATATCCACCAGCCTGAGTCTGCAAGGATCGAGGCTTTTAGTTATAGGGATTTAGGGTTTAGGGTTTAGGGTTTAGGGCTTAGGGCTTAGGGTTTAGGGTTTAGGGCTTAGGGTTTAGGGTTTAGGGATTTTAGGGCTTTGAGGGCAGGGTAGGCGAATGCATGCCAGAAGCCTCCATGTACAAACATGCAAACGGGGGCATACCAAGCGGTAATTGAGTGACATACCGGCTACCCTTTTTGATGTGAGACTGTGCGCTGCCATAGTTTGCAACGCAAAGGCAAGACGGACTGAGTCTACACAATCACGTGCAGCTGTGTAAGATCATGTATTACGATGAGAACATGCTATCCGTAGTACTCTGATGTATTGCCGGCTACTCGGACATACACCTACGGCTTCTGAAGTATATACACACACACACTCTCTCTCTCTCTCTCTCTCTCTCTCTTCATCTACGGTATAGTTGACAAGTGTACTAGCCAATAGTCGGTACTAACGTCTGGGTGGCAGAACAAGCATTGGGTTAAGGAAAACCTCGTCTACACACGACGGCCGTCACCTGGGAGCATCAGCTGCCATCTCTGCGTTCTCAGCAAGCCGTTGCAAAATCTGCACCGAAAACGAGATACTAAGCTTCGGACCCGACAAACTCCCTAACCTCTGAACGCCTAAAGCGACTCCACCAGCACCCTCGTGCTGCCAAGACGCTGGAGCAGCGGATTCGTGGGGCTCTCTATCTGAGTGGCTATTCTTATACGGGTAATTTGAAGGGTAGCAGCTACTAAACAGGTACTACTTGTATGATGAGGGATCTTATCAGGGTGCTACTAAAGCGAGGTACAGTCACAAGCTATAAGGATGCTACACAGGCACTTTAAAGGGAGGGCTGAAGGAGGTTGAGGAGCTTCAGAACTGGATTGGGAAACCCTGGTTAGTGCTTCCTAATGAGGTTACAAGGACCTCCTTTTTGGGGAGTGAGAACCATGGGCTTCGATCAGGTTTTGTCCAGAGGTGACAGGACGTCTCTGGCGCTGGATGCAAGCAGTCTCTGCAGGCTTTTTGGGCGAAAAAGTCCCAAACTGCCGCCGCTGGGATTTGTAGTGGCACTGGTACCAGGAGTTTGTGGTGGCACTAGTACCTGGCACACCCAATCAAGTATCCATCATGGTTGAGTGTGACTCCTCGTCTGCGAGCAAGTAGCCCAGATCATGCCAGTTTCTTTGCGCATCTGCTGCCGCACGTCCTTTCATGCATGGCTCGACACTGCCGGTCTAGATGAAACATGCCAGCACGAGGGTGCAGCAACAGCGCCAGCACGCATGGAGCCCGTTGCAGCAAAATCCCGACCATCTCCACATCCAGCCCTGAGCCGTGGCCCCTCTGCCCGATGTCTGTTATTCGAAGACATGCCGGGCGTCCTCCAGGTCATTGAGATCCAGATACGTAAACTGCAAATTCCTCGTCCGTCGAACTGCTGCAGTGCTACTCGATAGCTTTCCGTGATTTCCTATGCCAATGCGCATTTGCTACAGTTCACCCTTGCTGGCGCTGCTAAGTCTGCTAAGTGTGTGAAGCGACTTTCAAACTTGCGACAGATGGACTGCAGTGTGGCATGCAGACATGGTGGAGCTAAAGAGAAGAAGAACAGGTTCTCAAAGAAAGGGGGTACTTGCGACCCAGCTTCATCGTCCGGCTTCGCACGGTTTCGAACCTGGGAGTCTAAGGCTTTCGGAGTTTGGGGGGGCGGGATTTTTGCACGGGAGACGTGCGAGCCAAGCAGCCTAAACTTAAATGTTGCGGGTGAGGTTCTCAAAGCCGACATCTCCCAAAACACAGCGTCAGAGCTGCGGATAAAATATCTCCAAGCTTGTCGGATTCCTGTTCCATAAGCCTCATGCCCAGAGCAGTCCTAGAGCGTAAGTACAACGTGGACGGAACGCCTGGGGGACAAGCAAGAACTCGGCAGGACCATGCCCATTTCGACTTATTGAGAGATGGCCCGCTCCTTCACGACACTCTGCGAGGCTCGTGGGGTTTGAGTATCGCCAGCTTTTGAGAAACGGGTTGAGGATCGCATATGGGGTGCAGGGTCGCGACATGTCGGGGTGAATTCTGTCGGCTCGGCGACTGAGACTGAGCTCCCCGCAGGCGAAAGGTGCCGCCGTAGACGCCCCTGACGATGGGAAAGCCAGGAACGCCCGCCCGTATATGGATCTTTCGGCATCATCCTGTGTGTGAGTCGCTGGCCTCATGACGAGAACGTGAGCTCCAGGCTCCAGGAGCTCTAAAGCCAGGGCTGTGGCAGCCATGCCTTGTGGCGGGACTTCAGGGCTGGGTCAAAGCCGCATGATCCACGCATCAGTCCCGGAAACAACGGCCGAAATTCATTGCTTAAGTGGTCAATCAGAGTCCAATGCGATCTGACAATTCGAGCCCAAATCAGTTCAATTTCACCGCCTGAAGCCGTGGCTGTGGCCCAGGTACCGGCCTCACGGCGTTGGCACTCAAGCTCTTCGGGGAAGTTTCAGGTTCAGGGCATGAGGGCATGTGCCGAATGTGCGAAGTTCGGCTCAGAATTTGGTGTTGGGGATGCAGTCTCGGCAGCGCGATCTATGCCTGTTATGCTGGCGGACATGTTGATTGGGTCAGGAGGCACCTGTGCATGCGCTGCCAGACTTAAAAACTTCATGTTGTTGATGCTGAGTTCTCAACACACACTCCGGCATCTCACCACTCCTATCGCCCAAGACCTTACCTCGCAGGCCCAAGGCCCCAAAAAATCGGATCCTAAATCTGAAAACCGTATGACACTCTCCCGAAATGGTCAACCCTACGTCAACCCCTAAACCCCGAACCCCACGACAAACTCTAAACACGAACCTCTCAACCCCAAGCCTTGAAAGCCCCACCCCGAAATCCACAAAGCCTCCAGGTCCGCAAGCGCAGACTCATAGGCACTCCTTGACAAAAGTAGGTTCAGGGGCTCAGGCCTAGCGTTCAGGGATCAGTCTGGCAACGTGAATACGAACCTGCAACAAACACTCGTAGAAACACATACAGTTGTGTGTACGTGCGCATAGACACATGAATCAATACAATTAAAAAAACGTAACTATGAAAAAACATGCACAGCACATAACAAAAGGTAAATAAATAAACACATATATATATATACATACATACATACATACATACATACATACATACATACATACATAATACATACATGTAGGTATAGTGCAGTCAAATATTGGCAGTGGGCGACTCTTGCAGGGCAACCGGACCGCATCCAATCAGTATTTAGGGATTAATTAATGTAGGGGCCTTACGAACTAGAATAGGGTCTTGGGGGATCCTTATAACAATTATGGTATAATATACCCCCCAAAGCCTACTGTTCTGATTATTAAGGCCCCTACATTAGGGCTGAGGGTTTAGGGGGGTTTAGAAGGCAAGCTTGGGGCAGACTCGACGGCTGCCGAACTGCAGAGCCTACAAGCTGGCTGCTCTATAAGGGGTTTCTTGTAGGATTTCTGTAAAGGGTCTAGGATCTAGGGTTTAGGGTTTAGGGTTTCGGGTTGGATTTCTGTAAAGGGTCACAATGAGGGTTCCTATAAACCCTGAACTGGAAACTGCCGTCAATGCCATGACTAATCATTAGCAGCGAGGGCGTCTCTGCCACGCTCCAGCCCTCGCCAGCCCCGTCCCCAACAACTGCTTGCCCTCACGGTCCTTGTCGGATTGCCGCAGCGAGAGTACGCAAACTTCCCCTCCTGTGGGAGAGACCCTAAACACTAAACCCTAAACCCTAAACCCTAAACCCCTAAACCCTAAACCCTAAACCCAAGTGTTGCTTTAGTAGAAGGCTCGGGGCCAGTGAGATGTGTTGGTGGTGGGGGTTGCTTTTCGCGCCCTCTGATGCTTCTTCTACTACACTATTCTGTCTATCTTCTAGTTTGTGGCTTTTTATGCAAAGCCGGCTCTGCATTGAAACAAGAATCTCTTGCACGTTTTGGGAAACAGCGCATCGCTACCGCGTGTGATTGTTGTCCTCAACAGCTTCGGAAAGTCCTGTTCAAGACTCTCCCAATGGCCATGGTGTCTTCGAACCCTTCCTAAGACTTCCAAAAGAGAACCAGGAACCCCAAGGACTCCGGACGACTAGCCATCATGCGAGAATCAATGGTAGAAATGATCGGAAGAGAGTCATACTCATGATGACAAAAGTCACCATGAGCTTACCAACAAGCCTCTCAGACTGCCCTTGCCTGACCCAGGTTGGGCTGCACGAAGCTCGTAGCAGTGGTGATCGGCGGGATCACGGCCCCATGGCCTTCGCTTCGGTGGGCCCAAGCACCTGAAACCTCGGCCCTGGTGGTCAAACTGGGAGCTTTGGCCAGTTCAGCGAGAGAGGATCCTCTTCTGTGGAGATCTAAGTCTCCGGTTGTTGAAGTTGAGGATCCGAGACCACCTGCTGAAACCCACATGACAGCCTGAGACTGCATGCACTTGTAGGGAGAGAGGACGCAGAGAGGTGAGAGAGAGATGCAGAGAAACAAGCGAGAGCGAAGAGGAGGGAGGACAGAGACAGAGGGATAGAGACAAAGAGAGCAATCATTAAACCCACCACACATGTATAGTTCATCCTTTGATTCGATATGTAGCAACGCTATGAGCCAGTGTACAGGACGCCAAGTGCCAAGGAACCAGGATCATGCTGGTCCCCGGCGTGCACCGCCAGGGTGTCGAAGCGGGCGCCCGTCCGCGCCTCATCGGGGTGCAGACTCGTCGAATCGATGTGATACAATATAACTAGTCGCATCTGGTATAAAACAACTTTTATAGTATAATATACTATAATCTAATATACTATGAAAAAAAAGGTCTCACCCATGTTTTGTAGAGGAGCTCTTCCTACGTCTTAGGTCTTGGGGCGTTTTCCATGACGCCCTGGCCCTTGGGCTTACGGCGCGAAAGTCTCTCGAAGACCTGCTAGGTGCAGGGCACAACCTATGAGCAGGCTATGAAATCTGAGACCTGGAGACCATTCTGCGACATCTGAAAAGGAGTTTGAATAATTATACGTATACAGATTCGATCATATGATCGCACTTATGCTCATGCGCATGCATGAAACAGATAACATGCTACCACATCCAGCGGTACGCATAGTAGACCTGCGTGCTCACATACGAACATAAGCATCTTTGCATAAGTGTGTGCGCACCATAGACGCATGCATGTTCACGTATACATATATACTGTAGATGTGACATTCATGCGGATGTTCGCATCAAGCTGGGAAGGAACAAGGGGCATGTTCAGAACGACAGTGATCATGTGTGGTAACCACAACAGAACTGTGTCGAGATGGGTAAACCACACCTTTCAGCCCTTCTGCACGGGTCGCATTCCGCGTCCCTGAACCCTGCGATCCCCAGTTTGCCCATGCGAAGACCTGAACACATGGAGTCCGAGACGCCCTAAAGGAAGTCGCCACATGTCGATGCGCTTCCTTTGCTTCCCGCCCAGCAGAAGAAAAGCCACCAATCCCAGCTTCGACCCCAAACCCGCCGAGGCTCATGTGCCTGTGTTTTTTTTTACAAGTAGCCCACCCGGGCTTGGGGATCAAGGTACAGTAGCCACAGGCTGGGCATGCCCAGTTCACAGAACCAGTGTGGAGGCTTCGGGCTTTGCAGCTCTTGCACAAATTGCTGGAAGGGGTCTATCGACATCAGCCCCGAGAAGGCCAGCATCCAAGCCGTCAACACTGGTACGAGAAGACATGAATGATAACGTCCGACGCGCCAAATCCTAAACTCGAGTTGAGGAACTCATTTCCCATCGCGGGTTTTGAAAAGTTGCCTTACATGTAATCGTGAAGTTTGCTGGCTTGTTCAGCTGAACCACGAAAGTACCTGTGAATCTTGAACCCTGGGTCCTATCTCCTCAGTATCTGCCAAGTTGTTCACTAGCACTCTCAACATCATCATCAAAGTCATCATCAACATAGCGACTTCAAAATCAGCACTTCTGGTTCTCAGCACTGCCCTACTAATCTGGTATGCTATACTGCCACGCACAGAAGACTGATGAACACCCTTACCACAGTTGTGCTGGCATTGTGACACTGCGAAACGTGACCCAGAAAATTTGCTACAAGTACTTCAAGTCAGCACCATTAAGACTACGAACATCTTCTTCCTCTCGGAGCAACTGCTCGCAGTGTCCGCTCTACGAACACACCACCCACCACCACCACTACCACCACCACCAATACGACCGTCATCATATTGGCGCTCTTGCTTCTGTTGACTCCTCTGAGTTGTATCCTAATGTCTCGCCGTCGCGTGGTCATAAGGCATAATTAGAGCTAAAGTTGCTGTTAGTATTCCTATTTCCGCTGCTGTTCCGACAGCTGGCCTACCTGCACCTACGCCTTTACGTTGATCCCGATCTGAGGTTCCCAGAGCAGCCTTCTTTGCCGCACTCCCATCCGACGCATCTGCCGGCCCCGGCGCCATGCGGACAGCTAAAGCTGAACACCAATATTTCTTCTGGGAACTTCGATGCACCCGGGGCCTAGGCTTTCTTGGCTGTCTGTCTAAGAGTCTAGGGCGGGGGGTATTAGCTGCCATTGACGATGATAGAACCTAGATTCCGGTTACTGCGACTGTGGTCTGTCAGGAAGGTGCTGACAAGTTTGTGTCCCTTCTCCAACTGTACTGCGATCAATTGCGTACCCATACTCCAATCCCGCCACTGGGCGTGGTCACTTCTTGTGCACGCATCAAGCTGGAAGTCTGGCTCAAGATCCCACCTTTTGATCCAAAGCAGTCCTCATGTCATGAGACAGAGAGGAGAGTGAGGAGACTGCGGCTAGCATAAGAACGGCAGCCCTGACGTGACAGACTTATCCCTTGAGACCCGGGCAAGGCCAGGGGAGATCAGCAGGCTCTCCTCGACGATCTTGTTGCTGGCATTCAAGACCCAAGCCTCATTCGGTGTGAGGAGTTTGGGCACGACTGTCGCGTTTCTTCCCAAATCCCGACAGTCTCACGACATCGCGGCCTCACAACATCCACCCCAGACTTTCCGCTCTTTGTGAGGCCCCAACGGTCTCATCGCGGGGCTCGACCTCGAACATCCGTCAGCAGACACGGGGAAGGCTCGTGAACGCTGTTGTGTGCAGGTGAACGCATGTGCACGCTCCTGCTTGTCGCCCTCGTGTGCAGATACAGGCTAAAGAAAAGACAGTCCGAATGGTCAGAAAAATGTCTTTACCTTGCAATTGTGTGGTCTGGTCCGGGGAATCACAGCCTGGCACCGGTGAAGGCACGAACGGTACAATTAACAACGTGATCGACTCCAAAGTAGAGTAGCAGCCAGCCAGCAAAGACATGTCAGCCGATAAGGACCCTCTTCCGACATCTAAAGAATCTAAAGCAATGCCTGCCTTCGGTTCAGACAAGTGTCCGGACCGATGTACATGTCTGGCCGGTGTAGAACATGCTCTCGCTGCGACAGGAGCTGATACCTTCAGTAAGGGGGTTCTGTGGTGGGCATCGTTACAGACGACTTGAGCTTTGTGGCCTGGCGGCATGCTGCTCCCAGTGTGGATGCTTGCACGTCCCTTCTTCAGATCTGTTCCCAGAGGCCAGGAGGAGATGCGTCCTACAGTGTCACCCCCTGCACACATGCACTCCCCATCATCACGACGACGATGACCAAAAGGGATCGCGAAAGCACGGAGCCCAACTGCAGCCGGACCGCTTGTCAGCGCGAGAGTTAGCGATGTCCTTGCTCTCCACCTCATCAAAACTCAGGCGGATACAGGCACAGAGCTCAAGCTTCGGGTTCAAAGTCCAGTGAAATTGACGAGGTCGTGCAGTGAGGTGTTCGTACCAGATGCACCTTCCACGGGCTTCTTCAACACTTGTCTAAGCCCTACACTGCGACGGCCCAATCGGTCATTGATCCGAAAAGCATTGGCGCAGCTGTGACTACCACGAGTTCATACGGCACTACTACAGCATGTTGCCATTTTGCGATTTTACACGCTCTTGTCGGCATCTCTGCGCTGCTAAGCAAGCGCTCAGAACAACGCCGCGGTGCTTTCAAAGCGGACAAGGCCCTGGAATCTCACTTGTTTTTCTGCAACGCACCCGCAATTAAGCACACCCTCATTCCAAAGTTCTGAGTCTTTCGATCCTTCTGTCAACTGGGGGCTAGGCTGCGTCCAGCGTCGATCTAATATCCTGTCCAGCGCGTTGGGCAGCTTGGGCTTTGGTGGTCAAACCCGGTCACCACATCTGCTGGCAGCTGGCAGACTTTTCGAACCAGCTTCTCTTTGGCTTCGGCAGGTAAGCCAGCTTGAACCCTTTGTAGGTTGGGGAGTGATGCCTTGAGTTTGAGGCTTTCTTAGATCGGAGGAAACGGTAAGGGTCACGGTATGGTGCCCATGGTTCCGTCGATTGCGTGTATGTGTTTTCTAAGACCGTCTGCACACAGAAAGGAGGCGGAATCCATTTCCCACTACCACAATCTGGGTTTCTTTGAAAGAATCGTAATGACGATGCTGCATCACTTCAAAAGCCCTCCGCAATGCCTGCTGCCAGCACGCAACGCGCGAGCAACGACCACGATCGCTCCGTCGGGGACCCTGAGCAGCTGGTAGAGACATGCATGGAGGACTCGGTGGGTTTCGGATTTGTTGAAGTGCAAGAAAAACAGAGGGGGGGAGTAAGGAAGCGGATGCCAACCCTGCACCACAGAGCACCTCCTAAATCCTGCAGTGACGTAGTAATCCAAATCACGAACCCGAATCCGAACCACTTCCCAAATCCTGACCTGTCTAACCAATGCCGCCAATACCCATTCTCAACCATTCTACCGAGACATGTGGGGTCAGCCACCCGAACCTATGTAAATGCCCGAAACATAGTCTTACGTTGGGGGATGTTGCTTCGGCCATACCTTTCTACACAGACGAGCGGATGAACAAGGACGGCTCAACATTAGCATTCGTTCCTTGCGCCACCGATGTTATTGAGATGGTCTTTTACTTGTCCTAAGTGACGGAACACATGCTTGAAAGCAGGCTCGATCAGTGATCATGGAACAACAGGCCGCACTGATTTTATGGTAGCCAAGGAATCAAAGCACGGATGGAGAAGAAGTAAACAAAATGAAAATCAACAGACAATGGACTATGCAAAAAATTCTGAATTCTTGCAGACACTTAGACCCGCAATCATTCTCGGCACATGATCACCTTCGAACACTAGGTTTGGCGTATCATCTTGCTTCTAGTCCGTGTCTTGAAATCTCTCGAGTTGCAGGTTTTTAACCGCACACCTGCCCCGTTTCAAGCAACATTCCGAAGGTGGACAGAAACTCGACAATCACCTTGGGCTAGCGAGACTCCCATGACTATCAGCACCATGGACTGTGGACATCCTTCTAATTGAGACCACACCACAGTCCCCTACTTTGATCCCGGACTACCGAGGCTGCGGCCAAGAGCTTTCCCTGGAAGGCCTTTGGAGCTCTGGCAAACGCATCCGCCAACAAAAATAGCACGTGGCAGCAAAGCTCTCTCTCTTTCTCTCTCTGCATGTGTACAGCTACTAAGCTACTAGGCCTCCGGGACACACACACACACACTCGCGCACATGTATACATATGTATACACACAGACATATATTATGTTCCAGTGCAGGTCTCAGTCTCAATATAGTAGCAACTCCAACAGCACCCAAAATCTACGCCGGTCAAATTCTGAGGAGCCCTATGTACACTCAAAACTCACACGAAGAAAGAAAGAATCAAACAAACAAGCAGTTGCACTCTCACATGTACCCATACCTGTGAACATCGACAGATATTGCTGACCCTGATTTGCAGGTCCTCTCAATTTGAACATGTACGCGATGCGAAGCATGAAGGTCTTGTAGAGTTTAGGAACCATAAAACCGAAGTTTCGTCACATCAACTCCATAGAGACAGATGGACAGACAGGCATACAGGCCTGAGAGGCTCCAGTGCACTGTGTTGGTAGTAGAGTTGCAAACGAACGTGTTGACTACAAGCTGCACGAACAATGCTGCGAGCATCGAGTTTCTCCATCGATACTTGTAGCGCCAACTTCAATCCAATCTATGAGCAATACATGAGACCCCTCGCTGATGGCAATGAGTCCTCGTATCAATAGCAGGTGCAACACAAAGGCAACGATTCGGAGCACACCTAGGACGCAATGCTACTGCTACAGAGATTCCAACAATGATGACAAGGATGAGTGCATGGTCGCTGGAAAATCTGATTGCTTCCACTTCGCTTGTGGCCAATGGGCTTGTTCATGCATCACTCGTCTTTCACAACTCATCATCATCGGTAGCATGACCCTCATCATCATCACCATCATCATCGTCATATTATTAGTATTGTTATTCATCTTCATCTTCAGCTTTATCATCATCATCATCATCATCATTTCTACGTACGACAGTCTTGAAACCGGGTGCGTTCTCAAAGGTGAGTTGTGCCCACCTGGCGATACGATGGGACGTTGATGTGTCGTATGTGAAACCATCGCCAGCACTGGAAGTCGCACTGGAGCATCTCGCACACAGCAAGCTTGCAGCACTCTGCAGGCATCCCTGAAGTCAAGCCTGCAGGAAGGAAAAGCCGACACCACGAAGGAGCAGTCCTGGCTGAAGTGGCAAGAATGGCTCTGCGAACCGAACGGCGGAGGGCCTCAACAACCGACCAGTCTTGGTGTGTACACCTCATTCGCGCCACCCTAAGGCGAAAAGCCGAGAAAAAACCCACAGAACCTGGCCTGCGGTCACGATCACGAGAGCCCCAAAGCGTCCGCGTGAGCGCGGCATGTCTATGGAGAGTCTCTCAGGCCTCCGACAGCTCTCTGCTATCTGCATGAGCCGGGATGACAGATGATACCAAGCGAGAGACCCGGGAGCTGGTCATAGAGGGGGCCTTAATACTTAGAATAGGCTTTTACTTTTGGGGTATATTAATTATACTATAGTCAACATAAGGAACCCCCGAAATAGTATCGGTAATTATGTAGGCATAGCCATTATTTGCAGGGTGGGGCTCCACCTTTCCTCGAACTGCAGCTCTACTTCGGCGACCTCACCACTGAGGAGGCATGCTCCCCCCACACAAGACCCATGTGGGTACCCCAATATAGTACGGCACCTTTTTAAAAAGGACCCTAAAAGGGACCCTATTTTAGAGAACTACCCATGTCCAAGCCCCAAGTCTAAGGTCGAACATGAATGCCATTGAAAGGGCGGCGTGGTTTCCGGAAAGCATCGTTACTGTGCGCATGCTAGAAGTAGATCATGCCAGAACCGGCTCTACGACACCGATTTCTGGATCGATGGGTGCTGATGCTCGGCCTTTGACCAACCTGGGTGATGGAGCTCCCTAATGTAGGGGCCTTAATAATTGGAATAGGGTTTGGGGGGGTATATTAATTATACTATGCATCTATAATAATATAGGGAACCCCCAAAACCCTTATTGAAAATGACTCAGGCCCCTACATGAGGTTCTCGGACACTCCACGGGTGAAAACCCTTACGAGGCCATATGAGGTCTTGCATTCTTAGAACATGACGCACTAGAATGCTACTTCTGCTTTTCCCACGAACGAACTTCAAGTTTATATCATTAGCATAGTGCTGCTTCAGGAGTTGTTGGAAGTTGATACCCCGCTGCGACTGAAAGCCAGACAGAGGTGGAATGCAGGTCGAACCTGTTTTCTTGCTCCAACAAGCACGTCCGGCCAACTGCCACCTGCCCTCTCGGCCTGCGGCGTGGCCTCTCTTCAAAGGGCCCACTGTTCTTCGAATAACTGTCGCTTGCGTCGATCCCGAACTGAGAATGCAGGCGCGAGGCCGTGAGGTCTGAGACCGTGTGGTGTGACTGGGGAATCTGAAGTTGATCTTGTTGGGAACTGCTGCGAGCCTACAGTCCCACGGTTCGACAGGAAGTGGAGACATTGACTCTTGCAGCGCAAACTCGCTCGTGACCCTTGAACACCAAAGACAATCTTTAAATCTAAGGTACACCCGCATGGGGAAAGTCTTCGACGAACCCCGGTTTGCGGATGCTACACAGGCCCGGAAAGGAGACATCGCACGCGATGTGTCTTGTCCAATCATTGGCAGGATCGATCTTTTGCATGGAAACCTGGAAACCCTCACACCTTGCAACTGGTCATGGGCGCCACACTTGGCACGACGAAGATCACGCCAAAGGGCGCGTGGGAAGCATGTAAGACCTGGGGGCTCCAAACCTCAAGCTGAACATCTTCGAGATTTTGCTTGTGTGGCTGGCCTAAACCCTAAACTCCTAAATCCCAAACCCTAAACCCTGAACCCTGAACCCTAAACCCGAAACCCTAAACCCTAAACCCCAACCCGTGGTGGGTCCTCCTGTCCCGGCCGAGCTCATCATTACTGAACGCAGCTCAGACGACCATCTCGATCTCGTCGTTCTGCATGCCTCAGCCGGTTTAGGGTTTAGGGTCTAGGGCCGAGTGATTCGAAGTCCCTCATAGCCGCGGAGCCCTAAGAGCCCGAAACACCTAAAACCCAGACCGACATCCTCAGACCCCACAGTAACCAACACACCAAACCTTGACCCCCTAAAATCCCAAGCTCCTTGACCCAGAAAGCTAAACCCCTATACTAGCCCGATCCTTTGGGCCTGCAATAACAAACCCTCGACAGGCGTCAGATGGGCTCAATGCGACGCTGCGGCGATGAAACGGGGTTTAGGGCTTATGGCTGAGGGATGCCTAGGGTTTAGGATCCAAGTGAGGGCACAAATTCCCTTTTTTACGCTCGAACCTGAGCAGAAGTAGGAGTAGGGTGATGACATGCTAACGGTGATTATGGTGGCGGCGTTGGTGGTCTTGCTGGTGTTGTTATGCTGGTGCAAGCGTCGATGATGACAGTCATGATGAAGATAATGACGATGATGACGACGAAGATGTTACTGATGATGACTACAATGATGGTGATGATAATGGCGATGATGATGATGGTGATGATGATGGCGGGGAAGAACATGACGACGATGATGGCTATGATGCTGAATATGACGATGCGACGACGATCATGATGATGATGACGATGATAGTGCTGGCGGTGGTGGTTGTGGTGGTGATGATGACGATGATAAAAGAGTGAGTGCGTGAGTGAGTGAATGATTGAGTGAACGGCGAGCGAGCGAGGGAGTGAGGGAATGAGGGAGTGAGGGAGTGAGAGTGTGAGTGAGTCTGTCAGTCAGTCAGTCAGTCAGTCAGTCAGTCAGTCAGTCGGTCAGTCAGTCAGTGAATGAGAGCATGAGGATGATGATGATGATTATGATTGTTATGCTGAGTTTGTACGGTGGTAATGACGGTGTTGCTGATTTCAACACTTCAACCCTTCAAAAGAGTCTGTGCAGGAGGAAGGGCTGAGCACTGACTGAGGAATGGGCTTGGCTTCAAGCGCGGGTAGACCGTGGTCCTGGCTGTTACGGCTTCTGGGCTTTTGGGGGCCCTAAAACCGAAACACTCAGATGGCAATCCTGAATGGTGGTGCAGCACTGATGGGTCAGCCCGGAAGTATTCACATAGTATCGCACAAGTATTCACATGCTACCAGAGCGGAAGAACAGGGATGAGAAAGACCAGCGGTCTTGCTTCGCTCGACTCCGCCGTGGGAGATGGCGGTGATCTCGATCTTCTCGAGGGAGATGACCATGTCCTTCCACTCCAACTCGAGCGGGCTCTTCTCACAACAGACGAAAGTGCTCTTGCCACACCTGGTGTCCCCGAAGCTAGGAGACTGTGACGCAACGCAAAGAAGCCCCAAAACGCAAGTGGGTCCATGAAGCCATAGGCATCGTCTTGGCCGTTGTTTGACCTGCAAGCGGGTCACCGAGCTAAATGTATCGGAACTTCACGGCACATGTCGCACGTCAGCCCTTCTGGGCACCATGCGGCAACATTTCTGCCGTCACGCCACCACCGCCACCAGTGATCACCCAGGCGGTGTCCTCCGAGACTGAGATACTGCTACTGCGGAAATTCTGAACTGTGCCGTCGAAAGCTGTCGGCTAGAAACTCACCAGTCGACAACCCCCTCGTGATCTCCAACCACAGGAACGTGACCCAGACCACTTCGTGAGAACATGCTGCAAAGAACACATGCAGCCAGGGCTTCGGCATCAAGCAGCTTCTGGAAGCTGCAACATCAAAATCAAACCCTCGAAACCGACAGCCTCAAACCCCTCGAAACCGTTTCATCTCCTCCAGATCAGCACCTCCGTGTGCTCCTTTGTAGAAGACCTTCCAAGCTTAGGGGCTTAGGTGCTTCGGGGGGTCGCAGCGGGGCCCGAGACCCCAAAATCTGAAGCCTTAATCCCTGAACCCTGACTCTACGGTTTAGGTTTTAGGGCTTCTTTTCAGGGCTTATGGTTTAAGGGTCTAGGGTTCCTAAAACCCTATAAACCTTGAGCCAAGAATCCCTAAACCCGGAACCTCAAGCCTAGGGAAGCTTGGAAGTCTCTGCTACCTACTCTAGTATTGCAAGCTCTACGCTACGAGGGTCCTTGATTTTCGATTCGATACACTCCCAGATGATTTTGAAAGTGGCGGGCATCGCGGGGAAGAGCTAAAAAAGACATGAGCCGCATTTCTGCACTTTTTGCCCATGCGTCCGGCTCATCTGTCGGTGAGTCCTACCAAATCAGGGAGTCCTCACAAGCCCTACAGTGATCGCCCCAATCGCCTAAAACCAAAAGCTTGTTTGTGTATGATTGTACAACCATCGTCCGCCGGATCGAGCCAAGCAAAGACGGAGCGTGAATTCAACTCCCTTTCGCCCCGCTGGCAGGTCGCGTGCCTTTCCGGCGCGCGGTTTCCACCGGCACGGGGCGGCTGTGAAATCGATAATTTCAGGTCCAACCCTCGAGGCTTCGGCTCAAGGTCAAGGTCCACAGGGAGGGAGGACGACGCTCTTTCGGGGAAGGCAAGCCCGGAGGATGGACCGAGTGTCTGTGCATCCGCTAGTGCCCTGTCCGGGCGGCACACACTGGCATACGTCCCGAAGGATAGTGTTACATGCCGAGGTGTTTAAACCTGTCAAGACATCGGGTGCTTGATCTCTGATGACACCGCCTCTCCGTACGGTCCTGGCCGATGATCCTAGAAAAGACAACACCACAGAACAGAACGTCAAACTACAGCACGATGGATGCACTGGGGGTGGAACGACCGCAGGCTTCACTAGGGCGCATCCGCTGCGAGGTCAAGATGATGTACGTCTCAGACCATGTAGTGAAAATTTAGCATACCTGACGCAGATGAAGACTGTCTGCGGTTCGGGGATCCGCGTCTTGACAGGGAGGCCTCTCGGTGGTGCCTGGGCACCGAGTAGACGTGCTTGAGAAGACAGATTTTCCAGCAGCATCCGTTGACTCCGAACACTGAAGAGTCGAAGAGGGTGGATGTCAGAACCAACCGAGAACCCCCAGGCATCATTACGTCACTCCACGTCATAGTGAATGACCGCATGCACCCATAAGAAACGGAGAGAAAAAGCCAACGAGCGAGAGAGAGAGAGAGAGAGAGAGAGAGACTATATGCGTATATATTTCTATCCAGACACATCATGACCTGCGATGAGCGACGGTTACGACTGGGAGACCGCCATGGATCGGATTCGACAGGACCATGCCAAGGGAGGCTGTGCAACTCACACGCACGGGATTCCCTGGCCTGCAAGCTTCTGCCGTTCATCGGCTATAGGGCTTTAGGGTTTCGGGCTGATGGCTTCGGCTTCAGATTAAGAAACCACAGAGATCGTTACTGGGAGGTTTCGTGCTACCTTCTTCAGCCGGAGGCGACTACGTAGTTGAGTCCACGTTTGCACGTCTACCCGGACCCTCTCTGATCCGTTCTCCGCATTCTTCGACCTCTTTCCGCTTCATGCAAGGGCTAACCTCGCTGCCGCTGACTAAACCCAAAGCCTTACATTTTCCCCCCAGCTGATAGGCTGATGAGATGATGCTCTAAAGCCGCAAAGGTCCCTGTCAGTACCGCAGCGAGGAACTTCGGGCAGAAAGCGGCTGAGAGGAGTTTCGCGGGCCTCGGCATTGGGGTTCTGCAGGGAGTGCTTCGGGGGCGACATTGCAGTTTGCGGAGAAATCCGGATTCAGGCTGGTGCGGTGGCTCTACAGGGTTTGGCGGTTTCTTGGCTCTCGGTGTTCATGGAATTGGACAGTTGGGCTGTTGGGCCCCCACGTGCTTGCCAACCATACCTGGACACCACAGCTTCGCATATAGTGCATCTTCGTCATCATCTTCATCATTTCTCGCCAACTGGACTACATACTTGCATACAGACAGATGTACAGTCATGCATTTACATGTATATCTATATGCATATATGTACACACACACACAGATACACAACACACGCACAATCACGGCCAGCCCGTTCACACAGTACACATCAACAGTAACCGCTGCATATCTGCACGAGGGCTCACCACACCGCCTGAAGCTCGTACAACTGCCATCGAAAACCTTGCATGGCGAGCGTTCATTTCATTAGTCCTACAGAACCAAATTTCCATGACGTCAGGAGAAACTCTGCCCAGCAACTGGAGCTGCGTCGAACTCCAGCAAAAGCAGGCATCTGGAACCTGTGTTGAATGAGAGTTACTCAGACAGGTCTGGCTCTGTGACTGTGCCCATGAACTTCTTGCAGGTCCTGTTCTCCTTCACTCTGTGAGCTCCAAAAAAGGTATATCAGTTTACGAGGCCTCCAAACGCTCCGACAGACTTTGGAGTACACCCAAAGCTCTGAGCAGAAGCTGTCAGTGCTGAGCTGGGAGCTGTTGGGATCGGGTAACCACCGGACGCTCGCTCGTCCTGACGGGACTCCGGGTTCAAGCGTCCCAGAAATGCGGTTTGAGTCTGCTTTGCTCACGTTGCATGTATAGATTCAGGGTGAGGATTTGCGGCGATGGGGAAGTTAGGTCAAGATCGGAATTCTCAATGACTCATGTGCTTTGCTTGGCGACGCATGTCTACCTTGGGCCGCAGTTAAGGCGAAGGCCAAGGCTGACCTGTACTGGCAGCAGTGTTCTTGATGATCCTTTCGCATCCGCCAGGAAAGAAGCGCCACATGCAAACATCCGTTCGTCTGGATTCTGAATCAGGACGCTCTCCGCCGGCGTGTCCTTTCTATCCGTCCCGTCGGCCGCTTCTCTGGCACATTGTTCGTTTGGGGACACCTGGCACAAGGAATCAGCGAGTTTGGCATCAGACAAGCATTCAGAATGAATTCCAGACACGGGCTGAGATTTCAGACCACGATAATGACACGGCGAACCGACGCTCGTCTGCGACACAAAAGCAGCAGAAAGCCCCAAATTACCATCTGCAAGCCCGAAGTGTTCAATTTGAGATTCTAAACCCACACTTCAAATGGTCAGGGCCTTTGTCGTGGCACCAACGGCTGCACCGGCCGAGCGTCCTTCCGGGCCAGTCAGGGAAACCGGAGGTTGCGTTGCAGTTTGCCAGCCCTAAACCCTAACAAACCTGAACCTCCCTGAACCGAAAAACCCTAAAAATCCCTCAAAGTCCCAAAAAAATCCCTGAACAAAATCCTAAACTCAGCACAAAGGTCCAGGTCCTTCCGGCCCAGCGCCGAGAGCGCCGGACTTGGCCGCGGTGTGAGAGACGTGGCTCGGGAGCTCAAAGACTCACGCGAGCCTCTAGGGCTCGGCCTTCAGCGATTGCATGGAGGGGGAGTTGTTGAGTTCTAGGGTTTAGGGTTTAGGGTTTAGGGTAGAAGGCCTAAGGAGTACCGTACTCCGGGCGTTTTAAGCAAGGATCCTGATTACTTCTCTGGTTTGCATATTCGGGCTCATTCTTTCCGAACCTCAGATGTGGCTTTCTGCTCCGGTGCAGCGAAACGATGGTCCGTTAACAGTTGAAAGCAGGCCATGTGTGCGTAGGGTGCAGAACATCTCTGAAGGTTAGCATTGCCGTAGCCATGGGTTTATTCAACTGCCCGGAGCCAATTCCAAATGGAGGAGTGGCTATACAACCCAGCTGCTTCTGTGGTGTTCGCGGCGTGCGAACAGAGACCACTGCAGCGCTCTTGGACACTTGTCGCTGGCTCACAACCTGAGCGGGTTCGGGTTCCAAAGGCATCGTGAAGACCGTGCTGTTGCGCCAAGCCCACGTCTTGCCATTACATACTACCGACAGCAAGCTGCTTCACTCCTTTGGTGCTGAACCTACAGATCCAAAGAGCCCTAAACACGTCTGCCACGAAGGCTGCCATCATGGTTTTGTGGCATCCATAGTTCATGACTTCATGACCGCAGCGTCTCTACTGCGTTTATGTATGATCATATGTGACAATGCTTTGCATCGGTCTGGCAAAACCCCGTTCCACGAATTTGACCCATAGAAAACAAGTACCTTCGCGGGCGTAGCCGGTTTGGCCAGCGCCGCGGCGCCAGGGAAAGCCTCGAGCGGAATTCTGCGACGGGGCTTGGCGAGCCCAGGGTTTCCCAGTTCGAAGTTTTGGGCCTCGGCGATGACGGTGGTGATGGTGATGATGATGGTAATGATGGCGTTGACGACGGTGATGATGACAATGGAGCCGGAAGTGAGGGCTGCGACATTGATGCAGATGATGGCATTGAGGGATCATGGTGACGGTGGCGATGGTGTTGATTCTTCTTGGTGATGATGCTGTAGTCACCCATGCTGATGCTGAGCAGGCGGATTCTTGTCACAGGCTGGTGCAGCGGCGTTTGTTGCTTGCGCTTGCTGCAAGCGCAGAGAGGGTGCAGGTGCATGTCTGCTTTCGGCCACAAACATACACATAGACGTAGACATAGACACAGACACAGACATGGACATACATACATACGTACATACGTACGCACATACATACATACATACATACATACATACATACATACATACATACATGCATAATTTCATACCTACATACATACATTACATACCTACGTACCTGCACACCTGCATACCTACATAGCTACATACCTACAGACATACACACCTACATGCGTACATGCATACATTCATGTATGTATACATACATGCACATAAGAATACATGCATGCGTGCGTGCCTACACGCAAACATGCATATAAGCACGAGCATGCAAAAGTCAACAAACATATATACATGCAGGGCATACATGCATGCGTGCAAACATGCACAGTCATTCATCAATCCATCCGTCCGTCCGTCCATGCATACATGCGGGTGTCCGTATTTACATACATATGTCTTGTGTATGTATACATAAGTAGATGTAGGCATTTACAGTTCTTTGTAGACTTATATTTATTCTATTGATTTAGTTATTTACATATTTGTGTATTTATGTCTACGTGTACATTCATATGTATGTTTATTGTATGTTTCTCCCTGAATCCTGTAATCTCGAAAGCAAGAAACCAGTGCGTTGCAGATCTCCACGAAGAGCGCGTCTCGCAGGTGGGACTGCAGCTGCGAGGTCTCCTCCGCATAAGTTCCCCCGAGAGCGCACAAAAATGTCCAGGACGAGCTTCTACAGCACCGATATGTTATAAGAAGACTCCCCCCCCATGACATCCCAAGAGTACCCTTGCAGGAACTCGAACGATCAGATCTTGCTCTTCCTCATGCTTGATAGGTTTAGGGTCTCTCTTGACAAGGGTTTGGGCGTAGGGCGAGAAAGGGTCTTTGCTCCTTCGGGTCGCCGTCGGCCTCGAGGGGCGCAGTCTGGGGTGCTCTGATCGCCTCTCCACGACACTCCGTGATTTCACGAGCTTTGCGAGGGGGCCTTTGGGTTCCCGGGATGCTTGAGAGAACCTCCCCGGGACACGGCTTCTTAGTTAGGAATGCCTTCCATAGCAAGATGCAGGATGTCGCGGCCTCCTGCAGCATCCCGATTCGTATGAACAAGCATCGCTATCTTTTCATTACCGGAGCCCGACAGCTCCACAAAAACAGGCCCAAGCCTTGTTCATGTTTTCGCGATTCTTCAACAACTTGAGAAGGATTGGAAGGTCTTGTCATCTACGACGATTCACGGCACTACTATACTATACTATACGATACTGTACTAAACTAGAATATACTATACTATACTGCTATATACAATTTTATACTATACTATACTATACTATAGTATACTCTAGTATACTCTAGTATACTCTAGTATACTCTAGTATACTCTAGTATACTATACTGTACTATACTGTACTATATATCTTACTATACTATACTCTACTATCCTATACTCAATTAAACCCTTTCCAAATCCAGACCCCAGGCTCAAGCCTTGAGTGCTTGGCACCAGCTGCCCAGGCTGCTTAGCACCTCCTCCCGGCGCCGGGCAAGGTCCTCTGAGCTGAAAAGGGGACCAAGGAACAGCAAGAGCCATTATAGTATAGTATAGTTTTGTATAGTCTAGCATGGTAAATTATAGTATGTATGGTATATAGTAGTATAGTAGGCGATGTAGGCGGCAACATTAAAGCGTACTTGGAGTTTGGTGCGATTGCTGTGGTCTGGCAGTTGGATCAAATGCGGCGACTTGCGCAGGTCTGTTGAAGTTCAACGAGGCTGCAGCTTGTTGGAGGGATTGTGGCATGAGAAAACTCAGCTGCATTGCTGCCCCAGCCAGGAACGACCAAACAATAAGTCAATGTGGTAAGATTACAATCGGCGCAATATTGGCTGAGTTGTGGCTGATGTGTTCTCGGCTGCTGATGATACCGTCGTCGTTTCATGTTGGCACTTCAACCTTCACAGTAAACCAACTCCTAGTGCACACGACAACTCCTCCATCGCAGCCATGAACCTTCACCCCTGAATCCTGCAAAGTGTCCTGATAGGCGGCCTCCGTAGAGACTTCCATCGCCGCGACCTGTCTGCACAAAAGCCAACGACCAAGCATCCCCCGTCACCGTCTTCCACGGGACTCCTGAAAACAACAACAAAATAGTAATGCCACCATTCAGCGCAGAACGACCACTTTCTGTGCTGCAGTTTGCCCGCGTTCTTTTATGCAAATCAGGACTGCGATGACTTGGGAACCAGACCGTGGCTTACTGAAGTCAATAGTACTTCTGCATGCCTCACTGGACAAGAACCATAAACTCCGAACCTTGAACCCTGAATACTAGACTACGTGCATCCTGAACCGCAAGCCCTAAATACTCAACTAGAAGATGATCCTGCCTGAGCTTGGTACTCCTTGCACGCAGGCTCTGATACCATGGCCGGCACTAAGCACCGTTGAAAAGTTGAAAAGTCTGGCTCCGAAGAAGAACCTTTCGTTCGACTCCACCTCCCGTACGAACGACACTGCCTGATTTACGACAGCGATTTTGAACAGATAGAACGAACGAGGCTACTCATGTTCTGAATCAACCTAAGAGGACCGAATGATGGCGGACACGGAGGCCCCAAAAAGCCTAAAACTCCATCAGACGGCTTGCAAGTCTGCCGACATGTCGCATACTTCACGAGCTTGGGCCAAAAGCTTCTACACCTTTGTTTTTCACAAATCGGGGTTCCCGTAAACCCGAAACTCAGAGTTCAGGGACTGCGGAAGGGCCATGTATAAGAGGGCAACTCCTGCAGCAAGAGCCACCAACACTAAGGAGCCCAACAAGGAGCCCAACGGTCAACTGGCAGGTACTGTGCCGTTTTCTTGACTAACTGAGGGGCACCCAGCAGGACGGTGACGAAGACGAGAACATACTGTTGATGGTGGTGATTACGAAGAATGTGGTGACGATGATGATGAGCATCAGAAACCATATTGGCATTGACCTTCCTCTTGGCCATCAACATTCTTACCCCAAAAGGTGCCATCATCATAACCATAATCATCGTCATCATCATCATCATCCTGGTGATCATCATCACCATCACCATCATCATCAAAGTCGTCAATATCACCATCATTGTCAGTCACCTCACTGTCCATCAAAGGTTACCACGGTCCTTTACTTACTTCCTGGGATCGGCATTTGCAAAAACAGCTTTATGGGCACCGTATGCGACCAAGATAACGTGGGGAGACTTTCAGCGCGAGAAAGAAAGTACGCCACATTTCTGTCAACGAAATGCTGAGCAGAATCACCACAACGTCTATACATATAGGTATGTATGTGTATGGCTGCATATGACATGTATGTATGTATGTATGTATGTATGTATGTATGTATGTATGTATGTATGTGTATATATATATAGATACACAAAGCGTCGCACTGCAGGCCCGAGTTTTGAAGCTTTCTGTTTCTCCATACTTTTGGCTCGGATGTTCCAAGAGTCTTGCATCTATTTGTTTTTATGCATACAAGTATGCGTATATATATATATATATAGATAGATACAACCGCACATAATTAATACATGGAACCAGACTAAATTCCGGAGAATCGCCGCACTGCAAGTCCACCTTCTGCTCGTGCTTATGGCCGCTGATGATGAGGTCGATCCCCGCTTCGCGGGAAATGGCCTGCACAGAGTCTCCGAGGGGTCCCATCCGGGTTCGCCCAGCGTGCCCTTCGAAAACAACTCTTCCACTGGTGGCTTCAAGGCATGTGGAGACAAGCCGAGAAAGACTGGTCGGCAGGCGTGAACCCCGTAAAGCCAGGAAGCACGAAGCCCTGAGCTCTGCCCTTCCATGTGCAGTCCTGCCAACTCATGGCATCGGCACCACGGCCCGGCGTGTAGCCTGAGGCTTGGGCTTCGCAGACAAGCGTGGCAAATGCCTCTACATCAAAATGATGGCATGCTTGAACCACACAAAAGCTTGCTCGGATGTATGACAAGAGTACCAGAACGACAATTCCGAAGTTTGATCATCACAAGCCAAAACTCTCATAACATCCCATGAAGCCCTTCTGAAATCTTGAGACGCTATCGGATCCCCTCCGCCGGGCGCCCTCACTTGGCGGATGGTGCCTGAGCTGCCAGGTCGACCAATATAACTAACTAGATAATATAATGTACTATAATGCATTATAACATAACACAATATAGTACAAGAGAACCTTTTTTTTTGGGCGGCCCTATGCAACTCTCACTCAGCGTTCCTCCTAATGTACAGTCTGTGAGTAAAGTGAAAAGGAGCTGGCGGTGAGGAGTGTCTTGCACGTTGGCAGCCTCACTAGGGTACTCCCAAAGTGGCGGTCTACAGCTAGTCTGTGAGCCTGTAGATACGAAAACGGGAAGGTAGGGCTTTGGGTAGGAGGTAGCCGGGAGGACTTTGAAAGCCAGTGCCAAAGAAACTTGGTGCACTGTTCTGTCCAGTGGACTCTTCTCCTACCTGGCCTAAGACCTGCTCCTACCGTTCCCCCTCTGTACTGAAATGTATGTGTAAAACAGCAGTTCCGTTCTATACTGGTCGGATGGGATTGAAGAATGTGCCCGAAAAGTTTCAGCTGTGCTTTGTGGATGTGGTGGGTGATAGGTGGCTGTTCTGTGAGTGCTCGAATCTGTTGATTGGTGTACGTGTGCGCTGTGGGCTCCAGGATCTGCGTGTAGTATGTGCTTTTGATGTGGAGGATTTTCCTGAGGCTCTGTGAGTGGAATGCCTCGACTGTTGTAATCTCCCGTGGTCATCGCTGCTGATTCGAGGCCATATGTTATGAGCGGGATGAACACTGCGTTGTAAATCCGCAGCTTCCACTTTAATGTGAGGTCGGTGCTGCGCCATAATTGGTGCAGTGAGTGGAAATGTTTACGTGCTTTGGCCTGTCTTGTGAGAATGTCTTTGTGGTGGAGCCGTCGCTGCTGAGCATTACGCCAAGGTATTTGGCATGCTGTTCAATGGTAACGGGTGTGCCGTCTGTGAATGTGACCGTGTTGTGTGAGGTAGGGGACCTTAAAAGGACGCACTTCTTAAGGTTGAGGCGCAGGTTGCTGTGGGAGGCTACAGTTGTAGCGTGTGGAGCAGTTATTCTGCTCTGGTGGCGGTGCCTGCCAGCAATGCTGTGTCATCTGCGTAAGCCAGGTCGTAGAAGGGCTGGTTTTGGCTGTATAGCCAGGGGAGAAATTCCCCATTGGCTGTGAGTTCTGCGTCCACGTCGTGCATGATCATACCATGGACCACCAGGAAAAGATATGGGGAAAGTGAGCATCCCTGTCTGATGCCCGACTGTGCCTCCTCTTTGCTGCTGCTATGGCCTGCTGCTGCCACTGTGAACTGTGGTGAGGTGTAGATGTTCTTGATGAGCGCCGTGAGATGTGGTGGGACACCAAATCTGTCGAGTGCTGTGAGTAGGGCCTGTGGGTGTATTTTGTCAAAGGCCTTTTCCCAATCCAACAGAATGGTGTAGAGAGATTGTCCTGTGGCTTCAGCTCTCTCAATCAGTCTGCGTATGATGTGGATGGGTTGTGAGGTGGATCGTGAGGCTCGAAAACCGAATTGTGTGTCTCGGAGTCTGTCGTCGATCGCAGCTTGCAACCGGGTGTGAATGATTTTAGCAAAGAGTTTGTAGGAGGTGCTGAGTAATGAAATGGGGCGGTAGCTGGAAGGGTCTGTGAGTGGACCCTTGCCCTTGTAGATCTCCACCACAATGGCTTCGTGCCAGATAGTGGCTGTGAGAAGTGCTTGGTTCAGCACCCTGAGGAGTGCAGCTTGATTGTGTGTATCCAACCACTGCCAGGCTTCAGCAGGGATAGTGTCTGGGCCTGGCGCCTTGTTGTGTGCCAGCTCTTTAAGAGCTGCCTGTAGCTCTGCCTGTCTGATGGGGCTGAGGTCTACTGGGGCTGGGGGATGGATGGGGTCTGTGGGGCCCGAGTAAGGAGCTGGGGGTGTAGCCCAGTGGGAGTCTCGCAGGTATTCTGCGAAGGTCTGCGCTTGCTGGGTTTGGCTGGTGGGCTTGCCCTGTGAGTCCCGTATTGGGACCGGACGGGGTTTGTAGTCAGAACGTACTCTCTTGATCCACCTCCATTTTTGGCGTGGGTCAAGAGTGGCCTCGCTTTCGGCCAGTCGCTCTTTAAGCCACTGTGTTTTGTCCTTGCGGGCTTGCTTGCGAATGTCTTTGTGGAGCCTCACTTCCTCGTCGAAGCGCTGTGAGGCTCTGGCTGTGGAACGTTGTTGTATGAGGTCCCAGGTCTGCTGTGAGATCCGTGGGTGCTTCGGCACCGAGGTAGTGGTGGGAATGTTCTCTGCAATGGCCTTTTTGGTGGCTTCCTGCAGCTGCTCCCAAAGGGTGTGGGCTTGCGCCTGAAGTGGAAGGTGGGGAGTGGGATGTGAGGAGTCCGTTGCGGGTATGTTGTGGAGCTCCTGCTGATGGATGTGCTTATTGAAGCTCTGGATCTGGGCGGGGTCTGGTTGTCTGGAGTGTCTTGGCTTGGGAGGTGTTCTCTTGGCTTCTTTGGTCTTGAGCAGGAGGTCGACCTTAACCAAAAAGTGATTGCTGTTGAGTGCTGCTCCGGGGATGGTGTGGACGTTGTGGATGATGTTGCGCCAGTCTTTGTGGATGATGGCGTGGTCCAGCTGCACCAGGTCTCCGTTGGGGCGCTTGTGCGTGTGTCTATGCTGTGGGGCTTTTTCCATCCAGCTCTGTGGGAGGCAGTAGTCCTGTGAGGAGAGAAGGTCGTGCAACTGCCTTTGGTTGGTCTCTCCTTCCTCTGTGCGGTCAGCCTCGTCATCCTCGGCAGTCTTGCCGGGGACAAAGTGTGGGCACGCTGCGTGTGGGATGGCTGCTATCTCGTCCAGGGCTAGGGCGTTAAAGTCCCCTACCACCAAAAGCGCTGTTCGCTCTCTGTGGGCTGTGAGGTGTTGGTTAAGCTGCTGCCAGAAGGTGTCTCGGATTGCCTGCTCTCGCTGGTTGTGTGGGGCGTAGATGGCCATGATTTTGAGCGGGGCCTCCACCGTATCAATAGTGAAGTGAAGAAAGCGGCCGTCAATGCAGGTAAGCTCCGTGATTGTTGGTGTAAGGTGTGGAGCTGTGATGAGTGAGACTCCTGTGAAGGTTTGTGTTGGCTCGCCTTTGGAGTCGTAGGCTTCGGTGGCGCTGTGTGTAATGGTGTAGCCCTCAATCATAAACTGATCGGGCTGCTTCATGTGTGTCTCTGTGAGGGCCAGCCAGCTAAGCTCGTGCTGCTTCATGAGCTGGATCAGTGAGTGAAGCTTGGCTGCTTCCAGTAGGCCCGTAGTGTTCCAGAAGGCGCCTCGTAGTTGGTGCTGCGGCTGTGTCTGGATGTCATGCTTGGTTCTGCCTCTACAAGAGAACCTAGCACACTATAATCTAATACAATGAAATACAATATAATAAAATACAATGTTCTGACCACCACCACCACTGCCAGTATTGGTACTACTACGACTACCCATGAATATTAACTATTTCTACTACTATTGCTACCATGTCTGTCCCTCTTACGATTGCGATTGCTGTGGCTATTATTCGCAATATATCTGCTGCCAGTGCCGTTGCTAGTGCGGGCGCGAGTGAGAGTTCCAGACCTAGTAGTACCACGAATACTAATGCTTTTACCATTGCTGGTGCTGATACTATGACTACTTCTTGTTGATATTACCATTACTCGCGCTAGTATTCGTACAATATGCCTGGCTTCGGTGCTAGATTGCTGAACTTCCTGCAAAGCGCATACTTTGCTTTCGCCAAGTACCGTCATGGCAAGTCTCAGGGTTTAGGGTTTCGGGTTGAGGAAGCTGGCAATACACATGAAGCTTTGGAAAACGAACAATCAACCAGGATAGATTGGTGGGCCAGGTTGGCAGCTCGGCCCCGTGCAGCACCACAATCTGCCAGCTTGCCTCCGACTTCTTAACAGCATCGGTGAACCACCTTGGCGACGACTTCAGGTGCCAAGATTGCGGGCACAGATATTTTGAAAACAAGAAGAAGCAGAGTTTGCAGCTGCGAAGGGTGTGTCGTCCTTTCTTGCCGGAGTTTCGCCAACAAATGTAAAACCCCGAGTTTACTGCAGTTTCGGGTAAAAGATTATGTCTCGGAATGCTGTTTACAAGTATTTTGTTCTGTTGTTTTTATGTATTTGAGGAAGTCTTGCAACCACCGTCAGTTTCGTCGGTTTTGTCGTTTAGTTTTTGCGTGCGTGTTAAAGTTTCCTGTAGAAGGTCTGTGAGGCTCGAGATCCTTGTCGTGCGACAGTTCCACAAGTTGCATGGATTTCGAGAAAGTTTACTTTTGATGTTCGGAGAATGCAGGGGTGGAGGGTAGCGTGCAGCTCAGAAACAAGAAGAATCCAGATCAGCGAAAAGACAAGCAACAAACGGAAACATAAAACCGCATCCAGAGGGTCTTCGCAGACCAACAACACCATCATCGTCAGCATCGTCATCATGATATTCATCATCAACGTGAACATCCTCTTCATCAACAACACCATCATTCTTTAGCATCTGGATGATCATCAGAGTCATGGTAGCGCGACTTTCAGAGTCACGATAGCACAATTAACAGAGTCGTGAGCAGAGTCATCACCAGCCTCATGTCGTCGTCATCATCGGCACAAGGGCGAACAGCAAACGAACAAGCTAATGCGGCAAGAATGCTCCAAATCTTAAAGATTGTCAAGGCTGTCCATGCCTCCACCGCACCACAAGAGGAATGGACGTCCCCCGTCCCCACACAACCCGCCCCGTGTGCAAGAAAAGCGAAAAACACTACAAAATGCTATACCTAATCCGCATTGCCATGGACGAGTAGCAGTAGCAGATGCAGAACTGTAGCAGCCGTACTGACTACGCCGCAACTACGCCGTAGTGCCTCAAAGATCTGGAGCCCTGATTCTCTGCAGCTGAGCAATCCAGGCTAGGGCACATGCCTGATCGTAAGTCATAGAGTCATAGATTATCAACGATGAGAACAATGCAGCATCAAGAGTCAGAATTCAAACTACAGGAATGGCAAGAGTCCTCATAGCAGCACTTGGAGGGTCAACTGAGTGCCACGGCTTCTTCTGATCGCCCCAGAGCTTATCGAACCACCCGACGCAATCCTCACTGAGATCGGCCGTTTGTGCGAGTAGTGGGCTCCCGGGGTTGAAGTCAACTGAGTTTAGATTGGAGCGACTGTACCGATTTGTTGCGAAAAGTCACTGAGGCCAATTGTTGACATTGCAAGGCATTCTGGCTCCAAGCCCAGAGCCCACCGCTGGGCCCTTGGGCAGTGTGTGAAATCGTCGTCGTCAACATCACCACCACCATCATCCACGTTGCGTCACCAATTGAAGCATTCTCGTCACCATCATCCGGGAAGCCTTCTGCATCGCGACAGTGAACGACGGTCTATGTAGGACGAGGACTGGGACTGCTCGTACTGCCACAGCGACTGCTAATTGCTGCTACTGCTACTGCTAGACGAGTAGGCTACTGGTCTTCTAGAGTGCTATACTGCTAAGCCGTTGAAATGCTTTGCTATACTGCTAGACTGTAGAAATAATATGCTGCTATACAATAGACTGCTGTACTTTCGTACTGCTATGCTGCTACACTACTGTTCTTCTTCTGCTGCTGCTGCTGCTGCTGCTGCTGCTGCTGCTGCTGCTGCTGCTGCTGCTGCTGCCCCTGCTGCTGCAACCGCTACTACTGCGACGTTTCTTTCTCATCACTCCGTCTCTGTTCCTACCCACTGTTGCCACAAAGATGGAATCTTCATCGCCCACATGCAACCTCGCAGAAGTCAGGGCCCGGTCCGAGGGGTTGGTCGGCCCCGTAGCTGTGCAGCTACTCGCGTCGCTGCCCTCCTTTGGCGGGAACCTGGCTCAGGTAGGTTCTGGGTTCAAGAGTTACAGTGCAAGGTTGGGGAGAAGCAAGGTCACACTGAAGAGTTGCAAATCAGCGGGTGCCAATGTCCTTTGTGATCATGACATGAACTTTGACTTTCAAGGTGATGCACGACGAGGCAGGACCCACGACTGGCAGTTTCAATCGCTCCGGCGGTCGGGCGCCAGGTGGCATTCCTAGTTTGCCAGTTGCAAGTCCCGTCGTCTGTGCCAAACATTACCAGACCATCGCCAGGAGGATGGCTCACAGGTTGTCTGGCGATTAAAGTGGGGTAGTTGAGAACCGACGTGATCTGAAGCGCGGCATTCCACCCTTTCGCACAGGTCCGAACTCCAGAAGGCAGCCAGAGTGGATCTGGCCAGTCAGTCATCTACATGTGATCTCGGCTCCGCTCGCACGAAGTCAGGAATCCTGGCAGTCTAGGACAAACCCTGAAAGTCCAGGCTCGGGCGCGCCTGTTCTTCTCGCAGAACTGGAATTTGTCCGAGTTTCCCCTGTTGGCGCAAAGGTTGTGGTCTGGATTGTCCTCAATCGCCAACGCGCGCTCTTGCGAAAGCAAACTCCACTGCTGCGACTGAACCAATGCAAGCTTACACCAGCAAGGCTAAGGGGGATGACCACAATCTCTACTTTTGAGAAAAATTATAATTGCAGGCACAAGCCACTGTAATCACGCAATCGGTACTTCTGTCTTGTTGCCAACGATATGTATACCACAGCGCTCCCTTCCGAGGTCTTGGCCGCCGGGTTCTGCGTGTCGAGGACATTCGTGTCCAAGAACCAGATATCCACGTCGAATCTCAGCGGTAGCGTACGTTTAGGCAGTTTAGGCTGGGAAAGTAGCCTTTGTGTCATGGTACAGTAGTGCATGTTGTCGCAAGCAACGAGTGCTCGAGGCTACCAGCTCCAATCGTTAAGACTGCAACGCCACATTTTAAGGGTCCGCAGGCCGTAGTGACGACGAACGGAGTGGCGTAGGATGGACAGGAAATGCTGGAGATGAAGAAGGTCCGAGGAAACTTACTTCTGCCATGCCAGCAGCGGGGCCGGAGCCAAAAAAAGAACACCCAGGGTGGTGCTTTTTTGTTGCTCTGGCCCCGCCGACAGGTCTCGGCGCCCAACGGGGCGCAACAAAAAAAAAAACACTTTGCACACCCGGGAACGACAGCAAAAACAAATCTAGAAACTAATGACACGGGGCACGAGCAAAAAGGGGCCACAAGGTGGTGTTTTTTTTTTGCTGCGGCCCCGCCCGGACCCTCACTCACTCACTGCGGGCCTGGGCGGCGATGCCTCCCGCCGGGCCGCCGGGGTGGTGTTTATTTTTTTTGCTGCGGCCCCGCCCGGACCGGGGTGATGTTTGTTATTTTTGCTGCGGCCCCGCCCGGACGCTCACTCACTCACTGTGGCGAACCCGGCGAGCCAATAACAAAAAATGTCTGGTGTACACTTTGGGTCTAAGAAGACCCGGCGGGGCCACAGAAAAAAAAAAAAAAACACTTCCTTCTGGATTGAGCCAATCGGTTTCTCGCCAGATGCCTAGAACTGCCAATCGAGTTACCATGAGTTACCCAGCTGCCCCATGTTGCCAGTACCCATTCCTTGTCGCAAGTGGGGCAATTGCCTCGCCCCCGGCCCCCCGGATGCAAGGCAACTGCGGCATGGCGCAACTGGAGCAATAAACGTTAGTGGTTCTCGGGAGCACGGCCAATGCCCTGACTAACATCTCTGACTTACAACACTCTTGTTCTGTCAGTTGGCTATCGCAACGAGAGACCTTGCGGCTAGAGCAATAGTTCTGCGAAGATGCCAGTCAAACAAATGAGGCTTATCTGGGAAGAAAGTCCTGGCCCGAAGTCTTCAGCGCAGGGATAAAGCTCTTGGCCCTCGGCGTCTTGAAATTCACATGCCTGTGCCAATACTGAGCTGGCATGATCCAGCGTCCACCATCCTCCATGAGTTTGACGGCTTGACGCTGGTGCCACTGACGGCTACAATTACCACGAGAACCAGCACGCATGCACCGCTGCCGCTACTATACTAGAACCACCCTTAGCACCGCCAGTCTGCTCCACATGCTTTTCGCTACAGCAAGTATGCGAAACCACGCAGCTCTCCGTTTTCATTCTACTCTCCTCTTGGTCTTGTGTGTGTGTGTGTGTTGTGGACTGGCTGCCCGCCTCAGGGTCTTTGATACTTCGACTTGCGAAGTTTCAGCGCAAGCAGGCAACCCGGAAATGGAATACACAGTTCTGATGTGACACAGATTTTTTGCCCTATGTCTCAATTTATGGTCACCTTTTTCGAGGCTCTTCTTTACGTAATCTTACCATGCGACACTGGCTGGGCTGCTTTATGGCGGGAAAGCATGGCCTCGAGAGCTCTGGACTGCACCGAACCTTACCCCCGCGTCCTTGAAGGTGTAGAAGATCTGCTGGTCCCAGCCCTGCACCAATAAAAAGGGCTCTATGCTAAGGCCACTGCTTGTGGTATATGCCAAAGTCGTTGAACTTGGGATGCTTTGCTTTAGGCCTCATGCCGACGCTATTGAGGCTTTTAATTGTGAACGGTTTGTGCACATGATTCTGACGGTGGCTCGAACATCAATTTCCCTTTCAGAGGTGCGTAGTAGGGGCCGGCCCGCCGCAGGCCGCAGCCCAGCCTTGATGTAGCAGACACCACCATAGTCGTGGTTGCCGAGGACCTAGGCCCCACTGCGCGAGACAGCGAAGTCTCCGAGTCTGCGAACTTTCAGAGGCTCTTGCGCTCCACCATTCCATGTTGCCCAGGTCCTTCCGGGACGACACGACCGCTGCAACCCAGCAAGAGAGAAGAACCCTTCAAGCAGAAAAGCTATCGAATGCCTTGCGGGTTTCCCAAGCATACGAACTCAAAGATGATGCTCAACTGCAAACAAAAGTTTCCAGATCCAATGACATCATCGAAGTCTTAGGCGGCCTGCACGGGGTACATGTTCTCGAAGACCTGCTTGAACCTAAGCCGCAGTAGCTTGCAGGCTCCCGGCTGCATCTGGCTCGATGTCGAACGCTTAAAGATTTGATGTGAAGGTCAGAGATAGGGCCCTGCACGATGCTTCTTTCGAGTTCATGGAGCTCATGGACCCCAAAACCCTACCAGCCATACATGTATCTGGGGCACAGAACGCGGAAGAGCAAGGCGGAGGGACGACAGAAAAGTTTGTTCTTGCTTGGTGGGCGGGAGGCCGGGGGTAGGTTGCGGATGGTTGCGGATTGGCCGTTCCAGCCAACGCGGTTGCACTTCGAGTCGAAGCGGTTGCAACTGCAAGTTGAGCTGAGCTTTCCGCTGCCAGGACAAGAAGGAATCCTCTGGGGTGTTTACGCTGTCGCAGTGCCTCGGCTCAGTGCAACTTCTGCGCTTCGGGGCCAGGATCCTGGTTTCAGGTTTGGGGCTGAAGGTCCAGGCAAAACTTCACACATCTCTGCCAGACAAAACGAGTTCTTCGACCGTTCTTGGGGCTTTCCCTCAACTGCAGGTCCTATAAGTCCGATAGTTGTCGGGAATGAAGCCTACCTGCGCTATGGGCCGCGGAACTGTGCTCAAAAGACCAAAGGCTCATGCGAGAGTGCTGGCGTCACCGCGTGACCATGCACTCGCCTACGGCCTAGGGGGCAAGATAGTCCGCAGCTTGAGGGCTTGCCAACTTACACTCCCGCTGCAGATGGCAGAATCCTCCAGACATCCACGAATTAGCCACAGAGAAGTAGCAGCATAATTACTCAGGAACTTCGTCGCCCACCGCCGGTACTATTAGCTCAGGGTTGCAGGTTAAACTTCTGCCCCTCTCTCACTGTGATTCAGGGATTAGGCTCCCGCGGTTTGAGGGCTTGGGTTCATCTTCGTTTATCAGCTGGGCTGCCCTTTATGGACCCAAAATGTGGCTTCTGGCAGTTCTCAGTCACGTGCGCATTGATGCCACCAGGATAGAAGTTGTCACCTGCGGGACACAGGGTCTACAGTTTCATTCCCCCGCGTCAGCTGGTTCTTGGTCACATCAGAGAGAGAACACCTGAAGCATCAAATTGGCTGATGGTGTCGGTCACATCAGAGGCTGAGTTGCGGGTTTGCAACTCGAGCACTGCAACTGCCCCGGCTACATCAACAGCACGGCACGTGCACATAGATTTGGGCTAGGGCGTAACGTGGTCGGCTGCTGCCGCCGAACCTGACTGCCCTCTGCAGTACTGCACGAACTCACATCCGTCTCGCGTCATCAGGAAGAAAAACTACGCATTCATGCTCGTACCGCAGACATGACACAAGAGGCTCACATCCGCATCCCATGCACCACCTCAGATTATGGCCTCTTTCAATCGGCAAGCAACTTGAATTGAATCCTTCGAGGACAGTCGGCCGAGCTATTGCAAAGATGGCCCACTTGGGGGCTGTCTTCGAATTCGGGGCACAGGATCTGTAGGATCTACTGATCTTCTGACTACGGTCTATTCTAGGAGGTTCGTGGGATCTCAAACACCCATTTCAACCGTGGGCTAGAGCCCCACACCCATCCAGCCTACGTTGAGCACGAACCTGGGCGGCGTGCCTTGAAGCTAGGCAAACATCCAGGAGCACCAGCTTTGCAAGACATCAGCGGTGGGGGGTAGACAGGGTCTCATGTCTGACACAGACTTATGTGACGCGTAGACTGTCAGATGCGTCCTCTCTGCGAGGGATTTGTCTCAAACAGGTCGTGTGCCAGCACGGCCAACTTGAAAACTCGCTGAATCTGGCGTGTTTCTTCTTGTTTGGCTTTTTTTTTGCGTCTTGGGTCGGCGATGTGACTGTCAACAAGAGAAGTCATGGCGATGAAGATGGTGGCAGCGGTTGATGTCATGCAGTGCGTCACAGCCAGTCGTTCGCTGCTGCGTGGGGTCACAGGAAGCAGCAAGCATTCAATCCTAAACAGAAGGCTGAGACCCTCACAAAGCATCATCATAGTACCAGTAGCATAGCAGGAACATCTTCAATGGCAACTTGACACTTTGCGTTCAGCTCTTCAAGACCTCGGGTCATGGCCCTTCTGCTGCAGCTCCTGGGCCTGGTCAAAAAGGTGGCGGAATGAGAATACGTTTCTTCCTGCGCTGCGTAGTAATGATTGCAAGGAAAGTCTGAATATATCGTAATGAAACCATGACAGTAATGGTACTGATAGTACCAACCATGATTGCTTCCGATATTGCTGCACTCGCATCTGTAGCTCATTGCGTCTTCATCTGCTACGACGACGACGTCGACGACAACCACCGCCCTGGCAACACCTCTGGGGGCATTGCTGCCACAACCATAAAAAAACAGAGTATTGTTCCTCCAAATCGGACCGCGTCAGCATCAGCTACATCTATGTGCACGGACTCAAAACGAAATCAACAGAACAAGAGTTCCTGTACTTTGGCTTAGCAGTATGGCCCAGTATGGCAGACTGCGGGCGACAAGCGCACAAGCTTCCCAACAGTTCCCAGTTTCGGTTATGGCAACATCACCAGCTGTTGAGGGGGCCGTGCGACGGGGGCCAGCGGGTCTTAGGCGAAGAGAAACTCGCCAGACTCATGGTCTCTCAGCCCAAACTAACTCCAAACAGTGTGCCCAACCACTGTGCCTCTGCGTTGCCCTGTCTCCTCCCTCCACTCTCCCAAAGCCCATGTGACGCACAGCCTTCTTCGTCATTTGGCTCGCGACAAGGCTCTGAGCGTGGTAATCCTTGGACACAGAGTCAGGCTGCGACAGTGTTGACAGGGTTGGGAAAAGCATGTGAAAGATCCAGCTATCACTCTACTTCACCTGAGGAGTAATTATCGTCTGGCTTACAAAACGGATTATATACGGCTTAAGGGGCTGTGGGCACGGCATGAATCCTTTGTTGTTCTCCGCTACATATTCGGAGGGCCTTGCTTTCATGACATACTCTCTCCTGTCTACAATCCCTGAACCCTGCAGGGCAACAGGAGACAGGAACAGCGCCATGTGAGAACACTACATGTGCTCGAACCTCCTTGTTGACCTTGTAGTTTTGCCGAAAGGAACTTTGGCGGCAGGGTCGGGAAGAGACGCTGCTTCTGTGGAAGACGAAATGAAAGTAAATACTGTTAACTGGAACAGACTGTAGCAGCCTGGATGCCCATATAACCATAGCAGCGAAAGCATATCACTGCACATCCAACGAATAGTTAACTGTGCTTGTGGGCTGGGTAATCTGCTCTGCATGCTCTAAGGGAGGTGGAAGATAAGAAGACGTCTTCGGGATTGAGGGGCTAAGCGCCGCGCGACCGGGTCCTGAAGCGGCGCGCCGTGGCGGTTGGGCATAGGACTCACCCTTCCAAGGACAAGGCTGAGGAGGGTCGAGGTGCGGACTCCAGTCCTGGGCTGATTACGAGCGTTTCTGCTGCTGCCGCTGCTGCTGCT